TCAACGTGTTAACGCATTCACGCCGAGGCCGCCCATATGGGCTGCTAACCGCATGTGCTCCTTGGACAATGGCAGCCCATATGGGCTGCCACCAGGTAATGCCTTGCCAGGTCCCTGCGTAATTAAAGATAGCCGTATAACTTCGTATAATACACATTCCTGAGAAAAAGGAGTTCTCGTGGGACCGTGTGACATGATGTCATGTCACACTCGCGCGGTCAAAATAATGCGCGCGGTCCCACACGCCAGACAGCGAAAAATAGCGCGGTCGTCAACGTGTTAACATGTTTTTGTCAAATATTTTTTTTCGCTTAGTAAAACTTGTTGAAAAAATCCGCAATATTCATGCATCAACCCAATACTTACCAGAGCCTACTTTAGCACCTAGTTTAAGCCGCCTGCTAAACTTCTTTTTTTCTTTAATACTCTTACGCTCACACAAATGTCGAAATCATCATACTCGTGCCAATGACAAAGGGAGATTGTTTCACTGTTGGTCATTCAAACATAAGCGGATAGGGGTAGTCGGGAAACAGAACTTTTCTCAGCAATTTCAAGGGCGCAGTGGTACCTGCTCAGAGCGTTTGCCGCGCCTAGAGCCAATCCCCACACTCCTTAGGGACTACAACATTCATCGATATTTACGACCATGGTGACTAGCTTCCCTTCCGTTATCGGCATCGAGAGAAAAAAAAATCAATAATTTATTCTAACCTCTAGCCTCGAGATTCCTTACACTGAATACGTACAACAATGAATGCAAATGAAGAGATATGAACAAGCACACTTTTTTTCATCGTAAACAAAAACTGCGATAGAATGGGCTATACACATGTAAACCCCTGACTAGCAGATACTAACAAGAACAATCTTAAGTGAATCAGAATCGAAATTTGTGTCTATACAAGAAACAAAATCGTTATGTTAAGCGACACAATCGATAAACGCACTCAAGTGAAGACCATACAACGATTGGAGCAGTTTTCGGTTCTAACACTTTCTAGTATGAAGGAAAATAATATGTTGTAAATGAAAAACGCATACCAACATTACAAACACGCGTACACGCTAGTCCAGTGAAAATGGTAGTAATACAGTTCACAAAATGTAATCAAATTTATGACACTAGACAGCTCAGACTGCTCATAACCGACTGATGCGGTGATAATTCACTGTTAATGGGTAACCGTTAGAACGCGAATTTCTCATAAACCTTCGCCCTTTTATCGCGAACCAAAGGCACACACGAATGTCTGCTATTCGGTGTCACTTGAAAGTTGAGAACATGAACTACAGAACACACTGAAAGCAAGACCATTTGAAACAATTTCCAAAGGTATCGATTCCGCAATCTAGTGAAGTGCATGGTGATGATAAAAAAGAATATAAAATTATACGAAGATATTCACGTAAATGCTTGTTTAGTAACAAAGCAACGAAAAGCGGTAAGGGCCACCCGTTGGCATCTACCATGTACGGGAAAAAAACATGAAAATAAAACAATTTTTTACAGTAGGAATGACGAACCTCAGGCTATGAGCACTACAAGTCACAAGAGCGCCTACGACCGCGCGCTCAATAACTATGTAGTAGGGACATACGCAGAACCAGGATCAACCGTCCTTTGGAAAATTACCGGCGAGGGAAGTCGTATTTGTAACTTTTGGAAGAAGAGCGTCGTTGATGGAACTGGCATTGTACAGCATTTTTTTAAGACTAAGAAATACTGAAAAATTTTGAGAACTTTCCCGGTTGTGAGGGCTTTGAGGTAGGATTGCTGCCGCATGCGGTAAGATGCACTGCTATAGAAAGTCGCGTAGAAGCTTCCTCCTACGAAAAGATGGAGAGGGAGCGAGTGCGCCGATACTAAACCTTTTCTAGTGCAGTTGTTAACCCTGCGATTGGAACAACAAACTGCTAGGGATACAAGACACACCTCTTTCAAAAAACGAGAAAAGCGTCGGGTGCAGACCATACACCACAAGTGACGACGGCCTCCACAAAATGTAATGTTTTCTGCCAATGAAATGATTAGCCTGTTGCAGTTGTATTCTATCAGTTGTCACTAATTACAACTATCATTTACCAAAATCAGCTATCACTATGAACCACTACTAACCAGATTTACTTGGAGGCCGTCGTCACTTGTGGTGTATGGTCTGCACCCGAAGCTCTTTGTTTTTTGAAAGGGTGGCTTTATGGTAGAATTACCATTATTACAATATAAAAAACGAAGGTGAGGGGATGAGTCGTATGGATGGCCACTCTACGAGATGGAGCCCTGCTTACTATGTTTTCCCGCAATGGTTGACCCCGTGTCAAGTTCGTCTTCCACTGTATACAAAAAAGCAACGCAAACGACAAAGGCAAGGCAAAACGACGACGAGAGAACACTATTTAAAAAACACGACAGGGATATGAGGACAAATATCTAGACATATTCATGAACTGGAGGATATGACGACTTCGCGATGTTTGTATGCCAATTGCTAAATGACAACTGTAAACGAATGACTTTGGCACGAGACGTGAACTGTCTTGTTTCCTACCAGCTGCAGCAGAAAGATAAACAAGTTCTGCAGCTATGAGCTTGCAGCAATACTTTTCTTGGCGGCAACGATGAGGTAGTACAGTGATGCCAACGGCTTTGCACACCGTAGGAACGGATGAGTGAGCAACTGACTTGCCGACCAACGATTATCTACAACAACTTCCAGCGCACAATCGATGAAATCCTGAAAAAAGAGTAGTTGCTGACGCAAACACTGTTGAACACATTTTAAAAATGAAGCTGCATTGTTGTTTGAAACAAATAGGGAAATAATTAGAATTCAACTCAAATAAAAATAGCATACTTTGAATGAAGCAGATAACTGATCTCTTCCAGGGAAATCAGGCTTGCCATTTGTTGCAATGAGGTAAATTGCCTGCAATAATTAGACGTGGACGGCATAAATGTTCGGAACGAAAACCTATTCACTACTTCCAATAAATAGTATTAGTTTCTAAACAATCCTTACATAATAAGAAGCTGTACCAGCATAGTTACGAATAAAACTGACCCTCAAAGGATTTTCGTTCAAATACGGAGGTTCTCCTTCAACCATTTCAATCGCCATGATACCCAGTGACCATACGTCCACTTTCGGGCCGTACTGTTTCCGAGTAACTACTTCAGGTGACATCTAGAAAATCGTAATAATATAAATATATGAATGGCTATATGACGAATGAAAGACATCCGATATCATCTAGCAAGATTTAGGAGTAAAAATGATTCCTACTCACCCAATATGGAGTGCCGACCATTGTAGTTCGCTTATTTTGCTCTGGAGAGATTTGAGCACAAAATCCGAAGTCAGCTGAACGAAACCATTAGGAATCACGAAAAAAAAACATCACATTATCCCTCGATTTTTAACCACTTCGCATAGTGATCTTGAAAGTGCTGCGACCGCAAAAGCTGACGTCAATGTGTTTAGGTAGCGCAATGTCGCAACACGGCGATTCAATAGAAGTGGACCAAAAAACAAGACAAGGAAATGCAACGTGCAAACACAACGTCCACTTACTTAATTTCACTGAACCATCCATACCAAGCAAAATATTGTCCGATTTGATATCCCGATGAATAACGTGTCGACTATGCAAAAACTCTAATGCTTGGAGAACCTGAACATGTAGATTTTCTTTGTTCTGCCTTCGTCCATATTTTCATGATCACGGAGCGGAACAAACAATACTTTTCTTCATAAGTTGTGCCATTTACATGCTTTTTCCTTCTTGATCGTAACAAAACTTCCTCACACATCCCCTTTCCTGGGAACAGCCCTACCTCAACGCAAAAGCATTTTTCATATTAATTCTAGCCCCCCTTTTTTGCAGTTCAACGTACCTCTATTTTGGAAGGAGGGAAGAGCATTGAGTACGGACTACACACCACAAATTACGATGGCAGAGGGGAAAAGTGGCTTTTTTTTCTTGGCCGTCGTCACTTGTGGTGTGCAGGTCTGCACTCAACCCCTTCTCGTCTTCCGAAATAGAGTGTACACCCTGTGTCAAATTTACGTAAAACCGCCCACTTCATGAAAAACTGTCAGTTGTATGCTTATTTCGTGCACAGTGATGTACGAGCTTTGAGAAGAAAGCACAAAGTCAAATAGTGTTGGTCTCGAAATCCATGAAAAGCCAATCTCTTCTGTAGAGATATTGCGCCTTAAAGTATAGACATCCACGAGACCGCTTATTGGCAACAAACTTAAGGGGAAAATATCCTTATCCTAAACCTTTAGTTTCCAGGAAAGCTATGAATCACCTCTCTACAAACAGCAGCGATCATTCCCTCTTCCATTTGACATTCCGTAACGACGTCGGTCAGAGAGCCACCAGCCAAATACTCCATTACCACCTGAAATGCATAAGTTTTCTTCGAGCACATTTAACCATAAAGAAAGTATGGGCAATACTAACACATTAACGCCGACGACAGTCCATATGGGCTCCCAGCTAATAGTCTACCAATCTTTCCTCGTAATTTTTGCATAATAATATTAGAAAAATAGAAATCAACAGTTAAGAAGATCACTAAAGATTATTTTGTGCTCTTCACGTTTTTGTTCCTTTACTAGACAGAACCCACAGTGTGAGGTGGGGAGGCAAAATCACGCCCGTTCCACTAAAACGCGAAAAAGGGCGCCGTTGTGAATGCGTTTGGGAAATATGATTATGTGTGAAGCCTAAAGAGGTGTAAACGGTTAAGGAAGATTTTAAAAAAGTCCTTACCCATAGTTCTTCTCCAACTAGGTAGGAATCGAGGTAGTTAACAATATTGGCATGCTTATTTTCACGCATGACGAGAATCTCGTTGATGATGAGTTCCTTCTTCGGCTGATCCTTGAGGTTCATTTGCTTGATGGCAACTTCGGCCCCTGTGCTCATTTCCATCGCTGTATATACTGATCCTGATGCTCTAAAAGCGAATACATTAGACAAATGCTCAACTTCAAAGATCCGCTTCCAGCTGAGTTCAGACATAGCGAATTTTGAAAATGCGCTTTGTTAGGTGCCTAGGTATTCCTGAAACAAAAGTGCTATGCAAAAATATCACTTATATTTGAAACGAGGTCATAATACCAAGTTATTTGCATCTATTACTACATCTTGTCCTTCCCACCAGCTGAAAGACCGATTCGCTATGCTTACAACTGCTCTTCGTTGTACTGGAATTGTGTAGGACGAAAATATTGCGTGAGATACCTGGGCTTTGTATACACCACGGAAAATCTGTCAAAAGAAAGCGGAAAATATAAGGGAAAGGAAAACTTTGTATAAGGGAAATATGCTTGAAAAGAAAAGAAAGCATAACAGCCACTATCAGTCACCTATCCAGTGAGAGAGGTTAAGAAATGCTTTTAGACGAAAGGACGAAACAGCAAATGACACAATTCCTTACAAAATTAGTTCTCCACTAAACTAAAAGAACAGATCAGGAATACAACTTACCCTGAACCAATCTTATCGATTTTCTTGTACTTCTTGTCAGGATTGCCGATGGTCACGATGGAACGCAGCTTCGTTAGCACCTTAACAACAATGGATACACCCAACATAATGAAGAAAATGCCTGAGCAAACCAAGAGATACTTCAGCATCGGTCATTTTCCTCTTTCCCTTTGCAACACCTCTCGATTGCACACCAAACTGGCCCTGTGACAAATCCGGTACGCGTTGTTCCTCCTCTTTTGGTTTCGTGTACTAAAACGTAAAAACGTAAGAAGAACAAACACGGCTGCAAAGAATCACCATAATTCAAACCAAACATTCGGTATGACAAAACGTCTTGATCAAAACATATTGATGCCAAACATTCTCTTACTATGCTAAGCGTACGAGCTGGACGGTCTGGAATTGGTGGTGGCATGGCACAATCAGCAGGATCCTCATCTTCAGGTACAGGAGGAGGAGCATAATTCTGTAAAGAAAAACAAATTAATCAGCGGTAAACCTTGTGAGTCTACAACCACAAGGTGAACGCCTTTAACTACACCACAAAAACTTACCGGAGGCATACTTGTGCGATTTTCACTGACTGCACTGTATCCTTGCACCAACGATGGTTTGGTAGAACTGTACGGTTTTGGGAGTGGAGCCAATTGTTTCGGAGAGTTCTTCAACTCGATATTTGAACCTAAAATATTACTGACTAGGGTAAAGATGGGATGTTAGAACAACACCTATGCCACTAGCTACTGATCTCTACTTCCTGCAAATTTTTAGGAACCATATTCTCCTGTTGAATGCACATCGCTGACCCTAAGCTACACAATGAACTAATGTTCCCAAACTAATTTTGGAGCACACGTGTTATCTATCGGTGAAATATGAGCCTTCAATTAAGATTTCGGAAGTCTTCGATCATTTAAATCTGCATGTTGCAGACTTTAGAAATTCTTTTGAAACATTTATTGCAAAAGATACAGTCGATATCTCGAAGTCTGATTGGGCGTGTCACCGGAAATGACGTGGCAGCCACCGCACTTGATAGAAGTTGCGCGGATAAGCTGCTTCCAACACGCTTTGCTGATATCTGGCGGAGTATTTTATCCACACAACATCTATCAAGTGCGGTGGCTGCCACGTCATTTCCGGTGACACGCCCAATCAGACTTCGAGATATGGACTGTATGTGACGGCTAGTTGATGGCCTCTCCAGTCCACAATGTCGTAGGATTTCTCAGTAATTATGGCAGAATCGTTTCTGATTGGAAGCGGGTTCGATCTCTCCTGGTTTATGAAGTCAGAAAGCGCTTCAGTGCAAGCCATGCAAGAAGAAGTCTACGTGCTCCTATGACCTCCGAAGAATCCCTCACAACATGCCAACTATTTCGTTAAACTTCCAGAAAGATGAGAAAAAAACGCAGATATGGGTGGTCGGTTGAACTGAATGCCGAAGGTCTCCTGAAGCTCACCGAAAGAGCCCCCAAGCAATGCATAGGAACTGGCAGAGCTTTTCCAGCGTTATCACAGCATATTGCCGTCCCTCTGCCTCGGCTCTAAAAGTAGTAAAACTATTGCGAGATGATCTTTAGGGATCTGAGTAACCAGTCACAATAGGCGGAGAGATTCTGGTTTTATAAGTCTTAACACGATTTTTTGGTCAGTGATAATGGGGTCTTTACGTAAACCATACGCGGGAACACCATTGGCTTACACGTATAAAATCAAAAATTCCAACGCAGAATACAGCAGTGCAACCTGGGAATCAGCTCGCATAACTGGTGGAGCTGCAAATATTTCGCTCACTGGAAGCTTTTGCCAGTGCATGAACTCCAATAACTCTTGCTCCAACTCTATTGGCGACCAATAATATAAGCGAATCGATGGAATCGTCGCGATTACGCGTGAAAACATGAAAGTTCAATTCATCTGAGCAACAGTCGCCCAAGCACTATGACGATGACCCAAGAAGAGCCTTCAAGCTTCTTTTAAGACTTTCGGACCCGCCTGATGTATTCAGCAGACCTGCCACAAACAGATCACCATCTGCTTCTGTCACTATACAACTATGAAAGAAAAAGAAGTTCAATCTGGACCAGATCCAGAAAAGCATCTTCCAGTTTTACGTCTCCAAAGCCCAGTTAAAAAACAAAAACGGCATCTACAACTGCCTGATGAAAAACAATTTACCGGCGGTAATGATTATGCATAATTGCTGACTATGCTAAAGATGAAATATGAACTGGCGTCTACCCATCTACAAAAGAAGGGTTTTCACGCGTGACCGAAGCACAAGACTGCGTACTGATGTAAGATATGAAATCCCGACGCAAACCCGTTCCCACTTTCACATAGCTCCCTTAGTGAAAAAAAGCTGGCATAAAGCCGGAGGCACCGGAAGCTTATACGCATGTGACACATCAGCCCAGGAAGTTTGGAGCAACCTCCGCATATTTTCAACAACAAATATCCATATGATAAAATTGGTACCAACGAGCCGAAGTGATATGCGTACCATGAAAGGGCGGTTGACCGGAGTGGGTGTGAAATGGGCTAGTATTCGAGTAGTGGTGAGGTAATGAGGATGTACTGTAGCCCATCGTTTTGAGGCCGATTGACGCACCAGTGGATGGTCGCGGTGAGCAGTCATCTGGAACAAAAACTATTCGTTCAAAGGTTCCGCAGAAGTGGCCATTTTCATTCAAAAACTTCGAAACACAAAAAAAAACTTTCCGTCCTCGCTAGCTACCTCGCTTTGTATCAGAATTCCATAAAAAGGGAGAAAACAAGAAAGCAGACCCGACAAAGTGGAAAATACGACTGCGCTCATTTCAAGTCCTAACGCACCACTGCAAACCAAATGCTCCACTTCCCTCTTCTGTGTCATTTCCTATTAGCCCCTCCAAATAAAGCACGTACTTCCATGTGTGTTGGGGGGGGGGGGAATTTGGGCAAACCTTATACCTTGTACATTATTAAAAAATCAGGAGTAACAAGATGTACTAGAAACAAACGCCGTCGATATGAGGTGCAGCCAATATCCAATCCCACGACAAAATGCCCGAGCGGAAGTTTAGTGACTTGTCTCAATCCCATGCTACATTCCCTTTCTACCTCTTGACTAATCGATCGTTGAGCTTCAACTGTTCTCCGTTCTGCTTCTATTCATCACCTTCCCACTCACAACTGACAAAGCGCTGACGGAAATGTGCAGGAGACATTTTCACAATGCCCTTCCATCTGTATGATTCATATGGCGTCTCCGCTCAGACCAAAAAGATGTTAATTATCACCCACGCCACAAAAGTATTGCCCTCATTCAAGCCAAAAATAGTCGCAGATAGATAGTGCTGGTGAAAAATGCAAAACGGGGCCAATTCAACATAGAAACAGAAACACTCACTCATATCATATTGCAGCCACTTTTGTTGCGAGCCATTCTCGCCTTGAGTGTAGTACTTGAGCGCATCGAGAACCGCCTGTGGATTTTGTTGTTGTTCTTGTTTAGAAATCTGCGATTCCATTAATAAACGTGCCCATGCCGACGGCATACCCTAAAAAAAAGAAAGTGAATGATGATCCCGTGAGAAATTAATAGAACTTTCTTTTTACACTGAAAACCCCACAACAATCAAATTAACCCACATCTGAACCTACCATAAAAATATATGTGTAATAATCGCGCATCGTAGCTTTGATATTACGAAAGGAATAGAGTTCTGCACAACAACGTGTTTATGAGCAGAATGATTGGCTAGGAATGTATTTGCATGGTAGTGTAACACAACGCACAACTGCTCCGGTCACCACAAATGTCGGGTGGCCCCGCAGTAACCTTCGCTCACTTTTGCAAACTTAACCCATCGGTCGCGCTATTTGCAGAAAGCAAAGTCCTGTATCGATGTTACTATAAAACTTCAAGAAAAATATATATAAAGTGCAAAATTCGAAACTCAAAAGCCAAACTAATACAAACTTCCCCTACTCGCCTCAAGGAAAAAAAACTACTAAATACTTATTCTCCTAATTCTAAAAACTACTTTTAAAAAAACCTAATTCTCTCTCTTCCGCTTCCACAATCATCCTCAGATTTTCAAGCCTTCCCACTTGGGACAGCGTTTTAAAACCACAGATCAAAGATTGAATCAGACCGCTCATCAAAAAAGCCGTAATTCCATCTGACTGACCATATCGAACAAGTTCCAAACGCCCACTCATGCACTTCAAAGAGCACTAAACCCTTGATATAAAATCAGTAAAAGTGCAGATTATCTGAACTAGCACTTTAAATACGGTCACTGTTCTATGATTTGCGCCAGACTCGGCGATTGTGCCGAGCTAATCGCGATTGGCGCAATCGCCGAGTCTGACGGAAATCTATGCTATCAAAAATATTGAGTTGTTGAGCTTTACTGCAGTAGTATTTCAAAAAAAAATCGCGTAGGAGTAGAGATTCCTTTAATATATCACACAAATAGCAAAACTGAAAATCAATCCATAGCAAAACTTAGATTATTAGAAAACCAAAGAGGCAATCTAGTTTGGACTGCGACAGACACGCCGAAATGCTTCTGCGAAATGACAGCAAAGCAGCTGCGAATGATTCAAGCCAGAAATGTCGAAGCAAAATGAAAATTCCATTCATAAATAAATGCTAGACATGAAAAAGCAGCTTATTCGCATTAGAGCGAGGATGAGCTGCTCTCCCATGCTCCGCAGCTCGCATTACAATGAGTATTCAAGAAAACATGACTCGATTGTTTCGAATAATTTCCACATTATGTTTCAAAGATGTCTCATTCATCCATAGAAATAAAAGCTACAACATGACTCACCGTAAATTCACCCGTAGCAGGATCATAGCCAACATGAACGGTATGTTCAAAATTGCTAGGTTCAGAGATAACCGGTTTCTCCGGAACCTCCTTCTTTTCACGATTCTCTGTAAACAAAAAAAGGTAACCGTATAACTTCATAAGCATTCCACCAATGCCTTGACCATGGGAACCAAACGAATCACATCACCGATGAATTCAGAATAAAAGACTAGGGAAACAATAATTATGGTTGTTCGAGCACTAAAAAATAATGAAAGCAGGTTAACTAGATAACTTACTCTTAACGAAAGGATTCGACATGCTTTTCTTTTTCTTGCCAGAATCTGACGGCTCCTTTGGTAACGGCTTCAAACCAACCACCTAAAAAATAAAATCACCATTAAACACATTGAAAGGATTTACTAGTAAAGTTGCGCGAACGAGTTCAAGTAGTCGGTCGACCACCAGCATGAGGTCGGTATGCTTGGTGCAAAATAGGAGGATCATGCGAAACCCCTCGCTCGAGAAAGATTCGCAACGAATAGTATTGAGAAAATTTCAGTACCTCCATTCAAAACCAAACTAGGTCTATCTAAGTTTGATAACTGTAGGGAATCGCATCGTTACATTTGCGACTGTGCTATCGCACGATCGAAACGTATGTATTTCACACTCGAACTGCAAAACCAGTTGCAAGACGGTCACAATTATGATCGCGGCCTACCCAGTACCAATCTGCAAGTTCTTCAAAGAAAAAAGATTTGAAAACTGGAATTTAGATTTGTCTCGAAACAACAGCCTCAAATTTGCCTATAGCGGATCGAAAAAAAAACGAAAAACTACTATATGAGATAAGTGGTGGAAAGAATGGTTTGCAATTCTAAACACCTTTACTGTTAACATTCAAAAATCCAGATTACCAAATCGTCTCACATTCGTACGTTTTTTAAGGAAACGTTTTTTCATTTAAGATGCCGCAAAAACTTTTGAAGCATTCGCCAAAATTCCGAAGATAATTAAATCTTGAATAATGAATTCAAATTTTTTCGGGCAAGGATTTTGAGCTTGTGACAGAAGCAGAACTGTAAAAAAAGCTCGATCAAAAAAAAACTAATCATTAGTATGACAGATAGTTGAAAAGGTCGCTGTGAAAGGAAAACTTTTCCGCAAAACGAAGCCATATGTGGAGCGGGGGAGGGGTCATAAAGTATAAGAACGTGGAAGCGTCAAAATAACGAAGGATGATAAACAGTCGAGAGTCTGAAGGAAGTGTGGGATTGTGTAGGAGGGGACTTCAACTTAAATTCAACAAATCTTCTTTGTTAGCGAAATTGCTGTACAAAAACAGTTAGGAGAGAGATGGTATTTTCACAGGCAGAATATCGCGCCAGATTTGGGTCGTACGCATATACGCAAACAAAAACAAACTCGCCGAATTTTTGACCCAACGACAGCAAGGAAACCGAGTGACTTTCCCTAGACTAAAATGACTAAACTACAATATGTCCAAGCACGGCGCTTTCCCTGAGCCTCATGGTGACATAAATATGCCACAACAGATTGTGGGTTTAAATTATAACACAAAACATATAATTGATAACAGCAATTTAGCCACACACCGAGCAATAAAAATGGAATACTTGATTGAATTTCTATCAAAATTTCGAAGTGTTGGTCTGTTATTGAATATCAGTAGTGAAAGAATGCAATATGCAGGTTGGTACACTATTACAACCCAAGAATCTCAAGGAAAAACTCCGTCGAAAAATCGCCTCTCGCGGTTTTTCAGTACTTTGATAACGAATGTGACACCAGTTTTGACGCAGATGCCACATGTGCCATACTGGCGCCAAATTTTTCTTTAACCACGTTCGAGAACACTTTACAAGTAAGCACAATTCACTGCCCAGATCACGAATACGATGATCATTTTGGCGCCACAGTGATTTGGTGCCGATTTGGTTCTTGGATTTAGTGCCAAGTTGCCCCACAAACGGGTGTCAAATGACTCCGACGTCAAAAGTGCCATACACATGATCAAAACATTGAATCACAACAATTCTTGAGCCTACAGCGAATATAAGAGATATTGCACTCGATTGTTTCAAAATTGCACTTAATAAATCCAGAGCTAGAAATAAATTTCACATTCGTAACCGAGGTAAAGCTTCAAAGAATTTTTTTTAGATTTAGGTTTGAGTGATGAGGAAATAGTGAGGAAATGTTGACTAAAAAAGAAGTTGAAATTACTCACCGACTGCTCTTTACCACCGGATCCACTACTGAATCGCAGTGGAGGAGGGGGCGGCTTGTCATCGTAGGAGGCCGCGACGCCGCGCATCGTTTCAGAAATCGTCGTCGATGACGACAAAGTAAAAACGCGAACGCCGACTGAAAAAGATTCTACGTTGAACCGTTAGTCGTACACAAAAAACAGCGATTAAGAACAAGAAACTGCGACAAAAATCAGCAGCGACGATGACGGTTGCAAGCGTAGTGCACGCATGCACATGCGATACGATGCGACCGTTCGGCGAAATCAGAACGACACGACGAACGATTGAACGATGAACGAAGCCGTTGCCGATCATGCATATCATATACATACGAAATATGACAGCGATTATGAATCCGAATCGGACAAAGACAGCAAGTCGCCGCGACGGGCGCGCGAGCTATTCACTGCGGAGGAACAAGTGAAGCTGTTTACCACATGAAAAGGCCGAGAACTCATGTAAAAAGAAACAATGGATCGCTGACGAATTACTGCTTCGACAAAGCGCTTGTTTGGGACGGCGATAGTGAAAATTAGCCAGTAGCTTATGTTACTTTACTGAAGGTAACTTAATGACTGCCCAGCGCCAAATCTATGCTGCAATAACCGTTGAAGAAATCACAAGTAAGCCCTGGAATCCACAATCTCATAAAAATCATTAAAAAAATACCTCACAGTGCCCAATTACCAAAGCCATTCGCAAATTTGTTATCAGCTACAGTTTAGAGCTACTAGTGAGCGCCTTCTTAGGCTAGTGTCAGAGTCCGCGATCCGTCGCAGGTTCGCTGATTCAACGATTTTCGCGATTTTCGCGATTTGCGCGATTTGCGCGAAACCTGCGATGGATCACAGGAGTTGGAAGTGCCCGATGAATACTGCGAGGTGTTGTTTAATCCTGCTGCGAATTCTGCTTGACAGTGAAGATTGAAAGACGACTGTTTGTGATTCTACTTGTTTCATGTTCAATGTCTATCAGTTCATTGAAATGCTCATGATTCGGATCGCAAAAATTGCAAGTGCCCCATTTGAACAATTGAAACACTGAATATGAAACAAGTGGAATCATGAGCAGTCGTCATTCAGCCATCACTATCAAGCAGAAGTGGCGGCGGATTGGAGAACACCTTGCAGTATTGATCGGGCACTTGTGATTTCCGTGACCCGTCGCGTGAATCGCGCAAATCGCGAAATCAGCGAAACCTGCGACGGATCGCGGACTCTGACACCAGCCTAGGTGTGGTATGAAAATGTGCAGAGTTAAAGCGGAGCTCGTTTTTCCAATGCGAATTCCAAAGTCCACTTTGTGGCAAGAAAAAGGTAAGAACGAAGGCATGATTCCACCAAGTTAGAGCACCTCTTGCGTTACACTCACCTTTTCTCCTCGAGAGTAACTCTCAATTCCGAAACTGGTCGAGATGACTTCACCCTCTCAGCCCTGCCCCCAGTGCTATCCCAAGTGGATCCTATGATTTGACTTGATTGGCTGTCTATAACAGGGACATTTCCGTTCTACCTTATCTACTCAGTGGGTAGACGGTGGGGAAAATGGGGCTCATGTCGTTAGGGAGGACTTGAAATGAGTGAGCCACTCATAGAACTTTGAACTTCCTCAGGGAGGGAAAGGAATTCTGGAGGGGGGGGGATGAGCAACCTTTGTTCTTGGCGTTTCTCCCCTCTCCTGGGCTTAATCCTAGTGTCACCAAGCAGCGATTCTTGGATGCCGGGGAAAATATATAAAAGCGATGGTATACATTCAATACAACTCAACCCCTCGAAGCGATTTTGAACACAGAACTAAGCTTACAAAACTCACAGCTACACAAGAACTGCAAAGTTATTTATCTTGCTTTGAAGCGCATTTCTAAGGCCGATGTCAGACTTTGCGAATCGCGCGATTCGCTAGCGTCCGCGGTCGCGTTGCGGTACCAGCCAATTGAGTGATTCACTGGCCGCGACGCGACCGCAGACGCTAGCGAATCGCGCGATTCGCAAAGTCTGACATCGGCCTAAGAAATGACGACAGCGGAAAAAGTATGGGATCTCAGCAGGTCAAAAAATACGATCAAATAAAAAAAGATCAAAACGGACAGAAATCTTCTGCCTTTGAAGCGGCAGAGCAGAGGCACTGATTGTTCTTTAAGCGAAACCTAGGAGAAATGTCAATCACTGACCCTTGTCATTGGAAAGTAGAGCAGCCGAATAATTTCAGGATACTGGGGAGGTAAAATATGAGAACATGGGTATCGACAGCTGCACGCACCGAGAAAATAATCACGAATACGTTCCCGCTTCATCATCATAAAGCGAATAATCCAGTAAAGGGGGGGGGCATGTGGTGCGACTGTTGCTGCCCTTTACATAAATTCCAATTTTTACTGGTAGAGGGAATTCCAGACGTGCATAAACCGTTTCGCATACGCTGCTACCCCCACCCTGGAGTCACCATGCCCCCACCCTTCGGGTGTGGTTGACTAAAACAGAGAGCGACTTTTTCGCGTTTCGCTCGCGAAACATTTTCTGCAGGAACCTCAGGTCCACCGCTGATCATGAGTGGACCTGGAGTTCCTGCAGCGAAAAATGTTTCGCGCTGCGAAACGCGAAAAAGTCGCTTTCTGTCCTAGTGAACCACACCCTGCCCCTCCCCCACCCTTACTGGATGAGACTCGCGGATAATTTTAAAACTGGACCGAACGAAGGGAATGCAGCTGAGGTTATAAAGACAAATGTTGCATGTTTAACAAAACCATGTGTCATGGTAAATATTTGCCAGGATGATTGGAAATTTATTAGCGACAAAGAATGTTCACCGGTGAGCGAGTGTGCCAAAAAAAGCTCCGTTATTTGAGAATTACGGATGAAAAAAAAACAGCTTCATTGCTTAAAAAACCGTTGTAATAGTAGGGTTGAAAATATAAATGTATGTGATGCCCTATAATTGCAGACGACAAACACAGATAACCTTTTGACTTTTATAGTACCAAAGCGCCAATGAGCCGTCGTACGACACGCAAACATGCATAGAACGTCCCCGTGCGTTTGACGTTGACCGCGCGGTGATAATCAGCACAATAGATAAACACCGGGGTTCGATTTCGTCCCGTTCCGATTCGAATTCACTGCTGTTGGTCTGACGAGGCCGTAGTGAAGTGAATAAGCGTGAATCGGTGGTGCGGTGTGGTGAGATCGATAGCGGTGGGGTCCGAGAACGGATGCAAGAACGGAGTGAGAGACAGAAAATGACGTTCGCATTGAGTGAGAGCGTGATTCTCATGATCCAGTTCGACACGTCCACCGCAAAGATACGCGACATGGCGCGATAACAGCGAACACCAGCGATGCGTGCGCGGTCGCGCGATCGACGACGACGACGACGACGACGCAGTGACGCGTTGTGGTGGCCACTCGCCCGGGCCAGTCATTAATCATGGGACAACGACCAACACGTTGGCCTCGCCATCACTGCTTCCTAGCTTTTGCACTTTTTACTACTCCTAATAACAACAATGCTGAACAGTATAAGCAATCGAAATGAGGCGATACAACCTATCGCCTTAATTCCTTACTCACTAAGCAAGTAAATGTGCCATAATGAAAAAGAAACCCGTAAATACAGGGTTGTATGACATCTAATCCTTTTGGTGTGGCGGGAACCTGGTAGTAAGTAAGAATGCGTGAGCCAGGGGGAATGGGGCCAATTCAGGGGGTGGGGGGTGTGTGAGCCACTTAACCTGTGGCAAAAGTTTGGGCCTTAGTGTCTGGTGTCTGGCCTTGTGAAGGAGACGCAGAGGAGCAAAAGGATTAGATGTCACAACACCTAAATACAGCGGTAAGCATCTAGCATGAAATAAGGAATAGCAAATTAAATCGCAGCAAAAAACTATACTAAATTAGGGTCTATTCCAGTTAGGGGGCATCATGGTGCAGTGACTCCCAAAAAGCTACGGTAACTCCGAGCCAGGGGGAGTGTAGCCAGTCTAGGGGGGTGGGGGTGAGGGCAGTCACTTGACATGCGTGAAAAGCTGGAATGTTCGAGTTTACATTAGCTCGCCGAGAAACTGCATCATGATGCCCCCCCTAACTGGAATAGACCCCTAAATTATTCGGCACAACATTTTTGTCTGCTTTACCTCATACTGGATCAACTCAATAGTGAAATATCAACTGCAATAGGCGGATGGCAGTCACTCGTTGTAGAGCGCCTAACGCGTAAAAACATAAGAAGGGTTCTTTTTATGAAAGCCACTAGGAAAAACTTTGGGGTGAGGGGAGGTGGATGCATGAACGATTTTTGGGCATTCATGTCGTTGGGGGGGGGAGGTGCATTAAGGTAAGTGACCCACTCACAGAGCTTGGAACTAAGCTTTAGGAAGGGGAAGGGATTCTGGGAAAGAAATGTGAGCAATTTTTGGTTCTCCTGGCGTTCCTGTCTCTCCTGGGCTTAGCCCTAGCGTCACTTATCAAGGATTTTCAAATGTCCTCTTTTGAATATCTCCCCTCCCATAGACATAGACACCAACATTTGCAGTATTTAAAACAAACACCTGTAAAACAATAAAAACGCAAAGAAATGGCGTGGGAATGAAGCTCCGAGCAGCTCGTTGCTTTAAAGGACTTTCTGAGCAAAAATGAGATTGGAGCAATTCATGCACTGCAGAGCTCACTCCGATCGGAATAAAGCCAAAAGGACCTTTTGTTGATAAGTGGTTACTATAGGAGCAAAGGAAAAAATGTTTCTAGAAAAATCAAGTATTTCCAAAACGAACTATTACATCGAAATATTTATTTGCAATTTGCGATCATCAAAAGAAGAATTTCGTCACTTGAACTATATATTATCAACAAAATATGGACGCATGCATGGGAAGGGTGAGAACAGAATGCTCTATAGTGAGCACGTTTTGCTAATATTAATTTTTCGATCTTTGTACGTCAGTCCCTCAACTATAGATACTGCTACGATACATATCGGATATTAATGTTTAATATTTGAGTTGTCTCATGTAGCATCTTTAAGATGCTCACGAATGGCTTAAAAATTAGGCTATCAAAATCACAACCACAGCGAA